ACTTACAGCTTGCTTGAGTGCACGGTAGTGTATCACATATCGTTCTTTATCATATAAGGTGGTCATTAGTTTATTTTGTTTAGATCCAGGAGGTGCCATATGCTCAGCACGGAATGGTAAATCTTTATGAGCGTTGTAAAGGGTTTTAGGATACTCAAGATCCACTTCAAGTATATAACCGATTTCAGCATCATAAGGCACGTTTAAAATACCCATTGAATTTGTATTTTGAATCCATTTAAAATCTGCGTATGGTAATGGTTGGGTCATGGCCCATCCATATAAATTATTGACATCATAATATATGAGTTATTTTTCATCTTTATCTACTTGATAGTCTTTTTTCATGTAAGGATTATTAGCTTTTGCATATCGATTGCAACATTGACTGATTCCACCTTGTGTGCCACGCTCGATAAACATAATAATGTCAATGTCTGTTAACAACTCTAATTTCACCTATTATAAAACCAAAAAACTTTAATCATAATTATTGTTATATGCATACATGTATGTAAAAAAAAAATTACCTTCGCATACTTTAACATAGCATCCCAGGTTAAGCCAGGAGTTGTAAAATAATGAGCTGGGTCTAATTCATATGCCTCATGACAACTATTCCGAAAATTTTCAAATATTTCAGCGAGTAGAAGTACGTCCGTCTTCAAATATAAATCAGAATACTCTCCAAGAGTTCCAATGTTAAAATTATTCCAAACATTTTCAGCATGCTCATACTCTTCATCGGTTATGTGAGCTTCGTAAAGACTGCTGTAGAAATCTTGTTTTGATGGCAGCTTATTTTCTTTTAGTTTTTCAAACGAAGAAATGTAATCATAAGGGAAAACACCTTTTCTTTTTAATAAATTTATCTGATCGTAAGTATATTTATCATCACTTGAGGAAATTGTTTCTAAAATTTTTAGATCTTCTAAATATGAGGATAATTTGTCGTGAGATGAGGCCATAAATTTAAATGAATCGATAAATCGGAAATTAATTTCAGTTCTTTCAACGTATTTTGTAAACGAATTATATTTTTCTTTCGTTTGCGGCAAAAGCTGAATTCTTCCCGGAAAACATGTAGCAAGTTCTTTGATAAAGAAGTGTGAATCATAACCACTCAAGTTATGAAAAATTATAGGTATCATTCTCGAGTCTTGATAGTTAATATTACACTTGTTGTGTGCGGATCCACGATATCTATAAAAAAATCATGTACAAGTATTAATTGATTATTATTATTACTATTATTATTATTATAGAAAAAAGTATACTCACTTTCCAGTAAGGTGACAGTGGTCTTTAACTTTTTTTATCATTTGAAGTAAATGGTTGGTTGCAAATATGGCACAATGAAGCCTTTTTAAATTGAATTTGTTCGTTATTCGTCAGGTGAATCATTTTCAAAGGATTTTTATATAATTCTTCTAATTTCAAAGCTAGAAAATATAGATCTTTGACAAACCATTGAGCAGGTGTTTTTTCATCTTCATCACACTGTCTATAACTTTTATACTCTGACTTGCTATCATCATAATAGCACTTAACAAAATAACCAATAGTAAAAACCATGTGATGTTGATATGCGCGGTCACTTTCAACAGGTTCCAGTAAACATTCAAAGTCTGCATATATAACAAAAGGTACTCGATTCTTGTATGTAAAATTTTTGAATTCAAGTATATGCTCATGCTTTTTTCTATTAGGTAGAGTAATTTTACACTTATTTAAATTTTTGCAATCAACTTCATGCATTTCTAGCTTTTGTTTGGACCAAAAATAGTGAAGGCAACGATCGCATATATTTGCAGCATGTTTATGTTCCGATAACTGTTTGCGTACTAAGCGAGATAAATTTTTTATCCAAATATAATGATATTTATGCTCTAAATCATTGTTATTATTTTCTTCTTCTTGATCATCTATGTAGAAGCCTTCAACAAGTAAAAGATTCACATGGGTTTGTTCTTTATTTGCAGTCAAGTGACTTGGAAAAACAATGTAAGTACTACCCTTCTTTTTAAAAAAATATAAATTAATTGAAACATTGTTTTGTTTTTCAAATTTTACAATTTTTTTAGGATATACAGAAAACTCAATTCCATCAAAATTTAATTCACCTTCAAAATCAATATGGTTAGAGACGCGCTGTGGATTGCTTTTCGCTGGATGTATTGCTGATAAAACAGCACATTTAAAACATTGAACGTCTCTGTTTATGACATTTACACAGGCTTTCTTTTTTTTATGTAATCCGACAAGTCTATGAAAGAACTACCTCGCATAGGATTAAGCTTATTAATATTTACAACTAAATTTAAAATTGAGTGCGGTGTCCAGCCAGATTCTTTATTTTGAAAATCATCCATATTTTTCTTTATCGGCTGTCGTACGTTCATCTCAAACCATTCATTCAAGTTAGTTATCTGGTAAATATTATGCGATTTCGTATTAAAATATTTTAAATCTACATCCTTGACATTATCTTTTACTATCACATATTCAGCTGTCAACATCGTATTAACTTTAAGTGCTTGATATAGCTCTAAAGATTGTTAAATTCGTTGAATAAATTGCTGTTCAACATCTTTAAGAAATTTTTTAATATCTAAGTGTTTCAAATTCACAATTAAAGCGTCCGTGATGCGATTTTCAAATGCACTATTTACATCATTCAAACTTACGGATGCATCATTTTCATCATGTGGAACTTGCATTGCAGTTACTATACCATTACCTTGAACACATACCGTAGGTGCTGATATTTTTGCTTCTCCTTTACTTTTACCTTGAACACAATTAGATACTGCTGCTGGTATAACGCTCTCATTATTATTACATGAAGCAGTTTTAGTTTTACATGTCTTGACTGATGTTACAACATTTTCATTACTTTCTCGTACAAAAACTTCGGGCTCATTTTCAAATACCTCGACTGCTGCTGCCACTTCTTGCTCACAGTCTTTTACGAAAACTTCAGATTCGTTCATAAATATTCTTTTCACTTCTACTATTTCTAAATGATCATATAGTAGTTGTATAATAGTTTTTAGTAAAGCCTCAGCAGATTGGAATTTTTGTTTTTCTGATTTAATTAAATTACTCCTTTGACTGAAAATATAAAAATCCTTAGCAATTGTAAGACTGGTGTCTAGCAATCTTTGGATTTGAGATACATCAGCATCACTATTGATTACTTGTTGATATGATTGCCATATACAATGTGTCACATCTTTGAAATATTGAACAGTAGCCATGACTAGCTTGGAACCGGAAGTTAAGAAAACGAACGATTTTGAAGAAGTAAGCAGTATTGGCGCTAGCAACTCCTTTAATATGCTAAGTTTTGCGAATATGAGAGGATAGGAGAGGAGTGGGGGGGAGGGTAAACGTGCGCATGCATGTGTTAAACTAAAATGTACATATTGTAAACCACAATTAGCAGTAAAATTCATTCATTTGATTACTCTCGGCTGAGCAACATCAATTACTTTTTCTTACAATATGAAGTACATTGTTGATTTTCAAGGCTTTAAGAGCTTTGGTAACAACTTTATTTTTAAG